CCCCAAAACCCCAAAACCCCAAAACCCCAAAACCCCATTTTTAAAACATGAGGTTGAAGAACTACAATTCAGTATATCTTTTAGCCTTGCTAGTGACTCTATAATCCATGATTCTCTCCAGGTAAGCCTTTTTAGAAATCTTGTCTTCGTAGGTCACCATGTTAGGGTTCTTTAGCAATGAAAGATTCTTTGTCCTACTGAAAGCTGGCTTTCTCGCAGTTTTATGTAATTTATGACTCCTATCAGGCATACCGTGATTTGTGAGAAGAGCTTTGTTAAAGTCATCAAATCTTTTGTTCACCTCTTCATCAGGGTCAAAAGACTCACCTTGGGTTACCCTTCCAAAACTTGATGATCTCTTGTGGTGAACCTTCCTTCCTGTATTAATCTTTGGTGGAATTGGGTTCACTTTACTGAGCGGTGGTGGATTATGTGGCACAAGAGATTTCAGTGTGCATTCAGATTTCGAACCTCTTAAGATCCGATTATCTGTACTCCCAGAGGCCATAGATTGCTTTAGAAAGTTCATACTTCTATCAGTCATGTTTATTTTATCTACTATTAATGTCTTCCCGAAACTGGTATTTTGCCCAATAGAAAAGTTGAGCCTTGAGGTATCATCAATTGGAGGTAGGATTTGGTGACTCTCACTCATTTTCTTTGGAATATCTTCGGCCTTATTAGATCTAATAGTAGAGTTCATTTCAATTGTCTCGTCCATCTTGGATTCTTTCAAATCTGGCAGGTTGAAGTCAAGAGTTTTGTTGTTCAGCGTGAAATTCTGAGATGTTTCGTTTATATACTCTTGCCTTGTCATAGAATTACTCATGCTAAATCTAGCTGGTTTTCCAATTTTGTTATTTAGCTCCTTCTGTGATAGAAACTCCGTTGGATGCAGACATACTTTCGAAATTGGATCCACCAGGTGTGATTCTGTAGAAGATTACTAAAGCTACTTACTTGTTCTCCATTCCTTTATAATTTTTGAAATCTTTATTAACTTGCTTGCCTTTTGCTCCCTTTCCTTCGACCTTTTTAGAGAAATGCATCTGCATGAGCTCCTCGGTGGTCTCAATAGAGGATCTCTTAGAAACTTTCAACTTCTTAAGCGTCTTCTTAGAAATCTTAGAGACATTGAAATCTCCAGGTAAAGTTTCAGCAGCGGGCTTTCTGACAAAGATGATACTTCCTTGGTAATCATAGGTGTAGGCTCTTTTAGCTAGTTTTTCAAAACTTGCTTTGCTCTGTTTGGCCCTTTCTTCATTCATCCGTTTGATCTCCATCTTTTCCTTAAGATCCTTCTCTTTTCTGAGGGATTCTCTCAGTTTTGTCGCCCTCATTCTTTGAATGGCAACATCCTCCTCTTCTTCAGAGGGGAGATCATCCAGATCTATTTGTTTAGGTATTTTCTCTGCCTTCGGGCTCTTCTGAGGAGTCTCAACTCTTTTCATAATACTTCTCCTAGAACGAGAGCTTCCTTCTCGCTTTGCAGCCTTAGATATGAACATGATTCCTGGTCGCTTGATCCCATTTTTGTGAATCTTGCCTATATTATCAATGTGAGATTGGAACAATTTTAGTTGTCAAGAAAATTCTAGCCATGCTAGTCCTCGAAAAGTTCATAAACTTGATTCCGATGGCAACTAGTTTTCAATAAAACCAGCATTACCAAATATAGGATTTTCTTTCAAAGGGATTTGTCCAGATAGGAAAGAATCTGCTTTTGGAGCCATAGGTTCTTCGTCAGATCTCCAGTCCTGACGGCCATCATAATACTTAAAAGTTTGCGCCTGGATGTGCTCTTTCATAGAAGGAATTTTATTTAAGATTAACCTCAATTTTGTCAAAGGGTTCTAGATGAACGAGTGTCATCTTTTTACCTCCAACTGAGCGAGCATCAGCTTTCTCATAATCGTTCTCTGACATATCAATACTGCTATTCTGGATGCTAAGGTAATCCCTTTCATTGAGGTCAAAGACACCTGCAATTTCAGCTGGGTCTTTCTCCTTTAGGTAGGAGTCAGCCATAACTTGGAAGTTACTAACCATAATATCAGCTGCATGTTTCTTATGATTTGACTCTATTCTGTTGATTTCAGCCCTTGCTTCTGCTCTCTTAATAATTTTCTCCATAGAGTGATTGACGATTGCAGAGCCGAGCAAACCGTCAATAATCATGTTGTTCTCCATGATCCTCTTCATTTTAAGCTTTCTCTGAGCCTCAGCCTCCTCAGGAGTAAGTTCAGCCATATAAAATAATTCAGTTTTAGAATAATTTAAGGGGTTTTGGGGTTTTGGGGTTTTGGGGTTTTGGGGTTTTGGGG